CTACATCTCATACGTGACAAGCCCTATGAGCAAAGACAGTGTCCAGCTTTCGACCTGGACAGAGGTTGTAGGGTCCAGGGCACAGCCCTGGGGTGAGCAGAGGCACCCCAAATGATTTCTTTGTTCACCAGGGATTTGTCTTTTTACTAATTTTGATTTGTTAAAATACATGGTGCAGCCAGGTGACTCTACTCCTGTAATGCCAGTACGAGGAGGCTGAGGCAGGAGGATCTTGAGTTCAAGCCAGTCGAGGCACAGAGTGTAACCCTGTTTCAAAATAACAAAGTTTGCATTATGCAAATGACAAACACTCTGCCATACCCTTAATTAATCAATTAACTTTTGACAGTACTGAGAGTTGAACTCAGGGTCTCACACTTGCTAGGCAGGAGCTCTACCCCACATAAGCCACTCTGCCAGCCCTTTTTTGTGCTGGGTTTTATTGAGATAGGTTCTGCCCATAGCTCACACCTATAATCCTAGCTACTCAGGAGGCAGAGATTGGGAGGCTCGAGGCACGAAGCCAGCCTGGGCAAATAGTTTGCAAGACACTATCTCGAAAAACCCATCACAAAAAAAGGTCTGGCGGAGTGGCTCAAGGTGTAGGCCCTGAGTTCAAACCCCAGTACTGCCACACACAAAAAAAATTTCTTAGTGAACACTAAACTTTATGTTCTGTATATTATCACAAGAAAAATAGATTGCATTAAGATAGTGTTTACCTTGACGATTGAGATTGGTGGCACCCCTCGTTTTATTCCTGAAGAAACACGTTCATTCAAAACTATACCCTGTCCCACCCCAGCCCCCCACTCAGTCCAGGCACTGCTGTGAACTACACAGGGATGTCAAAGTGTCATTGAGAAGTTGACATTTAAACTAATACTGGGATACTGGGAAGAACATCTGAAACAGAGGGCACAGCCTGTGCAAAGGTCCTGGGGCAGGACAAGTCTGGGTGATGGAGGAGCAGCAAGGAGGCCCACGTGGCTGGAGCAGAGGGAGCGAGGGAGACAGAGGGAGGAGGAGGCAGGGAGGAGACAGGCAGGTCGTGCAGGTCCCTGTGGGCTGCAGGGAGGACTTGGGCTTTGACCCTGAGGGAGGTGGGAGTCATGGAGGGCTGTGGGCAGGGAATGGAGGAGCCTGATTCCAGGGCTTTTTGTTGTTTTGAGTCAGAGTGTTGCAATGTAGTCCAGGCTGGCTTCCAACTCTCAATCCTTGCGCTTCTGCTGCCTGAATGCTGGGATTCCAGGCTTGGGCCACCATGCCTGGCCCTGATTCAAGCTTAAGGTTGTCAGCCCTGCAAGGGGACAGATTTTATCCTCCCTGGCCACTGTTATAAAGCTCCACTTAGAACCACGCCTGGCACACAGTAATTGCTCAATAAATGCTGAGAATGAATAACAGCTCCTTTTGGGAGTCTTCACAGGGGAGAAGGTACAAGGGTGGTAGCAATAATTGTACTCCCATCACCCCAGATCGCCCAGCATCAGCGGGTGGGGAACTCAAATCCACAGCTGAACAACTGAGGCCTCACCTCCACGAGGCCTGGCCCAGGGAGGTCCCTGCGCCTGCTCAGCGGCCACCTGTTTCCTCCTCGCCTTTGATTAATTTCCAGGCAACCCCATCCATTATGTCTCAGTGCCCAGCTCTGCTCCAGAGACTGCAGGGCCAGGGCTCATCTGTAACCGGGCAGACGAATCTGGTCTCCATCAGCTGGACACAGAGACAGAGCCCTGGCCCTGCATGGCCCCAGATGTGGCCCTGAAAACCCCAGGGAGAAGAACAAGGCGATGAGTGCTTGTGTTGGGGGGGAGGGAGGTTTGGAAGGGACTCCCAAACTATGATCTCTTTTTTTTTTTTTTAAGAGACAGGGTCTCATCTTGTAGCCCATGCTGGCCTCAAACTCGAGATTCTTCTGCCTCAGATATGATCTGAAGCCTCAATTCTCCCCAAATTAATTATATGTCCAACATCGCTCCCTCCTAGGTGGTAACCTTTGCTTTCCCTCTTGGGGGTGATTCTGATCCCAAGAGACCCCACCTAGAGAATGATCTGAGACTGTCAAAAGTACAGACGCTGGCAGAGTGGCTCAAGCAGTGAGAGTTAGAGCGCCTGCTTCACAAGCATGGAGCCCTTAGTTCAAACCCCAGTGCCACACAAAAAAGAAAAAAAAAATGCTGAGTGATGATGGCTCACGCCTGTAATCCTAACTACTAAGGAGGCAGGGATCAGGAGGATCACAGTTCGAAGCCAGCCAGGTCAAATAGTTTGCATGACCCTATCTTAAAATCCTTCAAAACAAGGGCTGGTGGAATGGCTCAAGGTGTAGGCCCTGAGTTCAAACTCCAGCATTACAAAAAAAAAAAAAAAAAAAAAAGTACAGAGGTTGAAAATCCTCCCTCTAACACTGGCCATGGCTCCCCAAGACTCTAGGAGTAAAATCGCAGTTCCTTGGCCTAGAACCCATGGCTCCTGATCCTTTCCAGCCATTCTTCCCACCACAACATGCCATCTGCCCCTCCCTCCCCCAAAGGGCTGCATTGCACAGTACGTGGGTCCAAAGCACGAGCACAGCCTGAATTTATATCCTTGCTGACACTACTGCTTGTGTGATATCCCCCACGTCAATTTGTCTCTCTGTGCCTAGCTTCTCTGTCTCTCAAATAGATATGATGGCAGATCCTTAGAGTTCAAGTGCTAGCTGGGAGCAGTGACTCCCACCTGTAATCCTAGCTACTCAGGAGGCAAAGATCAGGAGGACTGAGGTTCAAAGCAAAATAGTTCTCAAGACCCTATCTCCTAAAAATCAACCCCAAAAAAGGGCTGGTGGAGTGGCTCAAATGGTAATAGCACCTACCTAGCAAGTATGAGACCCTGAGTTCAAACTTCAGGGCCTCCAAAAAAAGAAAAAGAAGGGACTAAGTAAAATCTTATTCATAACTGGATGTGGTGACACACGCCTATCGTTCCAGTCAACTGGAGGCTGGGGATTTCAAGTTCCAGGCCAGACTGAATTACATAGCCAGACCTGGTCTCAAGAAAAAACAATACTTGTGCTGGACACTGGTGGCTCACACCTGTAATCCCAGCCACTTGAGAAGCTGAGATCAACGTTGGAGGCCAGTCTTCCTGGAGGCAAAACCCCAGTTCCACCAAAAAAAAAAAACCACCTTTCTATACATGACTATTACACAGTGACTGTCCTCAAAAGGCCATGCTGGGGAGGCTGTGTCTGGCTCCTTACTCAGGGGAGTCTGGTCACCAGACGCCTGATGCTCCAAGAGGGCACCTAGACAGTGTAAACTCAGGTGGCCCAACACTGGCTGCCAGGAGGGTGTTGGGCCAAGCAGGGAGGGCATAGGCAGAGCAGCTTCCTGGACATCTGAGGAATGCAGCCACACGACACCCTGCTTGGCTGACATTCTGCTGGCTCCATCTTAAACTGCTCTGAGAAGTTTTTGAGCAAGACACCCTACAATTTCATTGTGCCCTGGGCAACCCAAACTCTGCAGCCCATTCTGATGGCCGACTGCAAGAGGATCTGGGGGTCTGGGTTGTTCCAGAGCACAAGAGGAAGTGTGTCACAAAGAATTCTGTGACAGGCAAGGGCAACCCTGCCTTCACACAACTGACCTCCGACCTGACTGACTCCAAAATCTCTTTATTTACCATGGTGATATTTGCTTTTATTTTTTTTTAAGCGCCATTGGGGTTTGAACTCAGGGCCTGACACTTGCTAAGCAGGCACTCTAGCTCTTGAGCCACTCTGCCAGCCCCTATTTGCCTTTTTTTTTTTTTTTTGAATTATTATTTTCTTTTTGACGACAGGGTCTCACTATGTAGCCCCAGCTGGCCATGAACTCCCAATCCTCCTGTCTCCAGTTCCTGAGTGCTGGGATTACAGGCACGCACTACTACACCTGGCTACATCCAGATTTTCAGTTTTTATTTTTAAAAATACTGCTGTTTGTCAGGTGTTGTGTACGCCTGTCATCCCAGTCCCCAGGAGGTGGAGGCAGAGGCAGAGGCAGGAAGCCAGCCTGGACTACACAGTGAGACCCTGGCTCAAAAAACAAATTTTTCTTTTACTCTAGACATTAGCCTTGATGCAATGGTTATGACAGAGTATTGCATGGACAAAAGACAGCCATCCCAATCCAATATGGCTCTGGCCTTCTGTGGGAGACTGCGTTTTAATTCCATTCTACAGACCCAACACCCAAGGCCCAAAAAAGTTATGTTTCTCCACATTCACGGCGTCAGACAGGCCGCGATTGCCACAAAGTAACCAGAAAGTAACGTCTTTCTTTCAACAGCCTTTTGGGGGCCCGTTCTCCACATAGCAGAAAAGAAATCTTTCAAAACTGGAACCAGGGCCTTCCTCTGCCCATAACCTGCCATGGCTCCCACCTACCCGGGGGTAAAAGTCTTAAGCCCAGAAGCCCCTGCTTGAACTGTCCCCATCACCAGCTACAGAATTTTCAGGGCCGAGGTTGGGGATGTAGCTCAAGTGGTAGGGCACTTTCTGAGCATGCGCAAGGCCCAGGTTGCCACCTCCAACATCCCCCACCCACAACCAAAAAAAAAAACCCAAAAAACAATGCTCCTTGTTCAAAAGTGACAAACACAACAGCAGGGCAGGAAAGTATGAACCAAAGCCCTTCTGGAAGCAGGCCCTGTTCCTCTTCCTGCTCTCACGTCCTCGAGGGCTCCCTTGAGCTAGGCAGAGTCCTGCCTCAGGGCCTTGGCTCATGCATCCAGCTTTCATGAATCTGTTGCCACCACAGGCTCCCCGGCTTTCCTTCCAAGCTTTTTAGTGTTGAGGATGCCCTCCTTGGTCCCCCCCCCCCTTTTTCTTGTCCATAGCTTTACCAACCAGCTGACCTGCCTAGGACGTGGCTCCTGTATGTGTCCCTAGTCTGTCTCAGTAGGCCAGGGACTTAGCACCCTACCCTACCCTGCCCCTGGCACACAGTGGGCACACAGTAAGTGTGTGTTCAAGGATTGGCCCCTAGGAGGCACGCGGTGCGCCCACCCACCGCCTTTCTACACAGGAGGAAACTGAGGCTCAGAGAGGGCAGCTGCCCAGCCAGAGCCAAGGTCACAGAGCACGTCCGTGGCACGCGTCCAGGTCGCGACAGAGCCCGCACATTAGACGCCAGCAGCAGGGCCCCCTTTCTTTGACAGATGGGAAAACCGAGGCCCGGCAGTACGCCAGGGCCTCCCCCCTCCCCCGGTCCGGAGGCGCGCTGGAGGGAGGGGCGGCGGCGGCCCGGGGCCTGGGCGGGGGCGCGCCGTGCCAAGGTCACCGCGGCGGGCCAGCGGGGAGGCGGCCGGGTGGGGATCCGCAGGCCTCCCCGGGCGCGCGCGTCCCCCCCTCGGCGGCGCGCACGGGGCTCGGGCGGCGGCGGCGGCGGCAGCAGCAGGTGGAGCCGAAGCCTCCGCAGCAGCCGAGCCGCGGCCACCGCCGGCGTCGCCGCCATTAGACAATAGGAGCGGCGGCCGGGCGCGCGGCGGGCGGGGCGCAGGGCCCGGCGCGCAGGAAGCGGGGCCCGGGGCGCGCCGGGCCGGGCGCGGGAGGGGCGCAGGAAGCGGGCGAGGCCGGGCGCGGGAGGCGGCGGCGGCGGCCCGGGAGCTGCCGATCGGCGCCGGGACAAAGGCGCGGCCGCCCGGCGCCCCGAGCAGCCCGAGCCGGGGCGCAAAGCCGGGGCGCAGCCCGCGCCCCCCGCCGCGACTGACATGATGTTTCCACAAAGCAGGCATTCGGTAAGCGGGGGGCCCCGCCGTGCGCCCCAGTCCCGGCCGTGTACCCCCAGCCTTGGCCCTGCCCCCCAGTTCCGGGCCCTGCGCCCCCAGGTCCCGGCCCTGTCCCCCCCAATCCAGTTCCGGGTCCTGCGTCCTCAAGTCCTAGCCGTGGACTCCCCAGCTTCGGGCCCTGCGTCCTCCTCCACCCCCGACCCGCGCTCCCCCAGCTCCTGGCCTGTCTCCCCCCACTCCAAGTCCGGGAGCGCCCCCCACACACACACTCTGGGCCGTGAGATCCACAGCTTGGGGCCTTGAGCCCTGTGTCCCCCCAACTCCGGGCCCTGAGCCCTGCCCCCCCCAACTCCCAGGCCCGGTCCCCTCCAGCTCCAGGCCCAGGGCACCCCCCCCACCCCGCCGCCAGCTCCCGGACACCCCCGCAACTCGCAGAGTTCCCCCAGCTTCCGGGCCCAGCGTCCTCCTTGGGTCCCCAGCCAGGTCCCCTCCAACTCGGCCCGCGCAGTCCCCCTCCCCCAGCTCTCGGCCGGGCGCCCCCCCACTGAGCCAGGCCGGGCCTCGGACGGACGGCCTTGGCCTCGGGCCTGGGCGCTCTGGGAGCCCCGCCAGACCCGTCTAGCGCGGGACAGCTTTGGGGGTCTGTGCTGGGGGGCGATCCGAGGGGCACCCTTTCCGGAAGAGCGCACCCGGGAGGAAGGGCGCTGGAAATCCGGATTGGGTACCCCGGAATTCGGGCGCCTCTTTCCAGGGGACTTTGCGGGGAGGCCTCGCTCCCCCACTGCGGACTTAGGGAGGGGGCTCCCGCAGACCTCCGCCAGAGGCACTTGGGGTGTTCAGATGTGCATCCCCCCTCCCGGGCGCTTTAGAGAGCGGTAGAGGGCGCACCCTGCCTCTCCCCCCTCCCCCCACCCCCCGCCATCCACAGCCCGCATCAAAACGCACCCCCAGCCTGGGGGCGGCGGGGGCGAGACGCGCCCGCCCCGGGCTTCCGCGGAGAGGCGGGGGTGAGGGGCGGGCTGGGTGCCCGGGGCAGTAAACACCGGCCCAGGAAGTGGGGCGCGGCGGGGGGGGGGGTCCGCAGCTGCGTGGGGCGGGGCCAGCGGGAAGGAGGGAGGTGCGCTGACCCGCGCCCCCTCCTCGCCCTAGGGCTCGTCACATCTTCCCCAGCAGCTCAAATTCACCACCTCTGACTCCTGCGACCGCATCAAAGACGAGTTCCAGCTGCTGCAGGCGCAGTACCACAGGTGAGCTTGGGGCCTGTGGCGGAGCGGGGGCCCCTGGACCCAGATACTGGGGGAAATGTGTGGATGGAGTGACTTGACGGGTGCCAGGCTCCGTTCTAACAATTCTATGAGGGTCAAAACAGCTCCCATTTCACAGATGAGAAACCGAGGCGTGAAAAGCCTAAGTGATTTTCCCAGAGCTTCAGAGTCCCCTGTCCACCCCACCCCAGTCCTCACCGGATAAAAGCCCTCCCAACAAAGAAAGAAGTCGCAGCCCAGGCATCTCTTGCTGCCCAGTTGTGTGCGGTGGGGGGAGGGAATCCTGGTATCCCACAGGTTCTCCCCTTCAGCCCCAAATCTCAGCTTTATAAAGGACTTACCATGTGCTGGATCTCAGAAGAAGGAAAATTGTAAGCCCAGAGGGGTTAAGGAAATTTCTGCAGGATGCACAGCAAGCAAGTGGCAAAGCTGAGATCCACACCTGGTCCCTTCTGGCTTCAGAATGCTAGTTCCCAACAACCCACTGCAGAGGGTGGTCCCTCTCCGGTATCAGAAGGAGGTGGAAGGTCACAAGTCTCAAGTTCCACCTCCCATTCTAAAGTGTTCTTGGAATGATCCGGGGTTTTCTCCAACATGAAAGGGCACGATCACTTATTTATTTGTTTGTTTACTTAATTCTTATTTATTTTGGTTCTCTCTGCATGCTAAGTACTGACCATACGTTCTCTAGCTGCTTTTCCCGTTAACCTATTTTTGCACCCATTTTAAAAATGGGAAACTAAGGCATTCTGGGCAGTTAGCCTCCTGGGCAAGCCCCAGGACCTTGGTTCTGCTCCCTTACTGTGGAGGGTTGTGAAATTGGCTCATTCCAGAGTTCCTGCTACCACAGTGCTGTGTTACCTCTAGTAAGCCAGATCCCCTCTCTGAGCCTTGGCATCTCCATCTGCAGAGCTAAGGTTTCCTGCTATACAAGGAGAGGTTCCTGCCATCTTGGGGCCCACTCACAGCAACTGATAGGCCCAGAGCAACCAGAGCCTCAAGTAAGACCAGAAATGTAGAATTTGGGGTGAAATTGTCTCCCCCTCCCCACCCTTAAGTGCTGGCTCTGCTCCTAATAGGCAGGTGTTCACCACTGAGCCACATCCCACCCTGATTTTTTATTTTCACTTTATTTTTTTTAGTACTGGGGTTTGAACTCAATTCAAACCTCTAGCCACTACACCGACCGGTCCTTTTTTGTGATTGGTTTTTTGCGATAGGGTCTTGTGAACTGTTTGACCCGGTATTTATCCCTGCTCTCTTCAAATCTCGATCCTCCTGACCTCTGCTTTCTCTGTAGCTAGGATTACAGGCTGGAGTCATCAGTGCCCAGCTTGGGTTTTTTGAGCTAGGGTCTTACTCTGTAGCCCAGGCTGGCCTGGAACTCTCAATCCTCCTGCCTCAGCCTCCTGAGTGCTGGGATTGTAGACATACACCATGGTGTACAGAAATTTTTTAATTTTTTTTAATACTGTAACAAATGGACTTTTTTTTTTTTTTTTGGCAGTACTGGGGTTTGAACTCAGGGCCTCACATTTGCTAGACAGGTGTCCTACCACTTGAGCCACTTCTCCAGCCCCACAAATGCACATTTTTAAAGAAAATTATGGAAAAATGTAGGGAGGGGGACAAAAAGAACCCCCCCCCCGCTATGACTCACATTACACTCACATTACACTGTGGTAGAATGAGTTTCCAGGCTCTTTTGGTACAAGCATTTACTGGGTGCTTAGTGTATACGGAGCACAGTTGAAATTTTTTTTGTTGGGATTCATTTAATCATTTGCACCCTACACGACTAGTAGGTTGGTACTTTATAGAGGAGGAAATAAGGCCCAGAGAGGTAGAAGAGCAACCTGCGGTCACACCGCCTGGAAATGACAGAACAGAGTTTTGAACCCAGGCTCTTGGACTCAGCGTAGCAGTGGGAATGAGCAAATGATGTGTCCTCGTTCAGCTAAAGGACTGAAGCAGTCAGGATTGGGGCTCCTGGTCCAGCCTCCTCCCCATTTTTGCCCCCCAGGGAAGTCAAGGCTCCCAGTGAAGCCGGCATCTCCGGAGGAACCAACGCAGAGTTGTACCAGGCAGCCTGGTACAATTTGTGTCTGGAGAATACCCTCCAGTGGTTGAGTGCTTGGGCTGCTTCCTGGCTTTGTGACCTTGAGCCACTTATTCTCCCTCTCTGGGTGTCCCTGCATCATCTGTGAAATGAGAGTGACGATAAGAATTTTGCTGACCTCAGTGTTCCCAGAGAGCACTTGCTCTTAACAACTTTTGTTGTTATGATCATTGCTTGTCCAGTACTGGATCTACAAGGCCAGTTTTATAATTCCCATTTTACAGTTGGGGAAACCAAGGCTGTCCCAGTCACCCAGCATCACAGAGATCACTGCTGTGCCATGCATTCAGCTGCATGTGGTTTTGTCCTCATCTAAAGTGTGTGGCTTGACTCGGGAAGGGAGTGACCTGCCTGTTGCTGGGGACTTGAAGCCCTCAGAGCCTTGGTTTCCTCCCCACATCCCACCCTGCTGATGGCCTGTGTCTTCTCCTACCCTTCCCCAGCCTAAAGCTCGAATGTGACAAGCTGGCCAGCGAGAAGTCTGAGATGCAGCGCCACTACGTCATGGTAAAGCCACCCTGACCCCTGGGTCCCTAGCTGAGGGAGAGAGCCCAGAGCCTTCCAACCATGCAGACAGCTGCTCCCACACCCAGGGCTGAGCTCTCTGCAGCTGACCCCCTGCTGGGCCAAGCCTGCCTCACTGGCCTGGCTGTCGGCCCAGGTAGTGGCCGAGGTGCCAAACCGCCGGCTTGCAGCCTGGACCTGCCAGGTCCCTCGCTGTCCTTGGCAGCTGCTGGAGGAGGGGCATGCCTGGGAAATGCAGGAACTGACGTGAGAGGGAGCCATGGTCCATCCGGCCATGGAACTGGACCTTGGAAGAAAGACTCCCGGGGGGACCCTGTTCTGTAGGGGGAACTACATTCTTTGACCTCATATTCATGCCCCCTCACCCCAACCTTTGAGCCAGTGGATCAAAGCTCTCCTAGGCTGAATGGGATTGGAGTCCAAGAGAGGGAGAGAGGGCATTGCCTGAGGAAGGCCCTGTCATTGCAGCTGGGGTTTCACCTCTTCCCCTCCCCAGCAGTTCTGGGGTTTGAACTCACAGCCTCACACTTGCTAGGCAGGCTGTCTTCCACTTGAGTCACTCCACCAGCCTTGTTTTGTGTTGGGCATTTTCAAGGTAGCATCTCACGAACTATTTGCCCAACCTGGCCTCAAACCACAATCCTCCTGATCTCTGCCTCCTGAGTAACTAGGATTACTGGTGTGAGCCTCCAGTACTCAGCTGCAGCTGGGGTCTGGAAGAACAAGAAAGAGCTGGCTGGATAGAGACAAGGAAACTGTACAAATTGCTGGGAAGGAACTTGGCTTTCTCCCCCAGGGGTAATAGGGAACCATGGTAGGATTCAGAGAGCAAGAGAGGGGCAGGGTCAGATCTGGGGCTTGCCGAGGGAGGCTGCTAGCCCCAGCACCAGACAGCAGGCTTTGTTTATCCTAGATTATTTATACCAGGGAGGCAGACTTCTCTGGAGCCTAGGCCCACCCACCCGCAGACAAAACACATAAAGATAAAAGATTAGGAGGACTGGAATGTGAGCCGGAGGAGCTGGCAGTCCCCTGTCTGGGTGAGGGAGTCTCCCTGTCTGACTCTCTCCACCTGCCTCTTGCTCCCTGCTGTCTCCTGCTTTGTCCCTGACCCCCTCCACCCCAATCTCTCTGTCTCCTCCCACAGTACTACGAGATGTCCTACGGCTTAAATATCGAGATGCACAAGCAGGTATGCCTCAGTTTCCCTCTGGTGCCCCAGAGCTCCCCCAGGCAGGTCCCAGCTGCCCCTGGCTGAGGGCTGTGCCGCCCCTGTTGCCCTGTTACCCCTAAGCCTGTCCCAACCTGTTCCTGGTTACAGTGCGGGGGATGGACCCCATTGGCCTTGCAGGTGCTAAGCAAGTGCTCAGCACTGGACCACACGCCAGTCTTTTGAGCCAGGGTCTCGATAAAGAGCCCAGGCCCGGGCTGTCCAGCCTCCAGCCTCTAGCCTTCACCTGCACCTCCCAAGTGCTGGGATGAGAGGCAGACGCCCGCGAGTGACTCCGAACCTCCTTTTCTTTGGGTTCTCTGGGGGTTTTCTCATGCAAGGCAGGAGTGAGACCTTCACCGTGACCCCCCCACACACACCCACACACACACATGTGCATGCCTTGTCTTTCCGCGGTGGTGGCAGGGAACGATGACGTGCCCATAGGCTGGGTGACCCTGGAAAAGCCCTCCCTTGACCTCTCGCTTTGGCTCTGCCATCTGTGTCCTGACCAGGCCATGGCGACTGTAGACCCAGCTGCCTCTAAGCCTCCCTCCCTGGGGTGGTTGTGCATGGACAGCCAACTTCCTTCCAACCTCACTTGTGAGGCAGGCACTCTTACCACTTGAGCCACTCTACCAGCCCTGTTTTGTGATGGGTGTTTTTCAAGATAGCATCTCACAAACTGTTTGCCCAGGCTGGCCTCAAGCCACAATCCTCCTGATCTCTGCCTCCTGAGTAGCTAGGATTACAGGTGTGAGCCTCCAGTACTCAGCTAATGACTACTTCCCTACACCCCCGCCACTGATGGGTACCCCAGGGTCACTCAGACCACTAAGGACAGAGCCCCTCCACAGCCTCCTGGGGACTAACCCCCTGTGTGTTCCAGGCTGAAATCGTGAAGAGGCTGAACGGAATCTGTGCCCAGGTCCTTCCCTACCTGTCCCAGGAGGTAAGCAGGGCCCCTCCCTACTGCAGCCATGTCAGCATCACCAGACCTCCCGTCTCCTGGGATGTGCAGCCCTAGCCACTTCACAGCTGCTAATGTCACAGTCACTTCGAGTGAACACTGGACTTTTCTCCCCTTCTGTCTGCCTTTTTCTCCCCCAGAGGTCTGCCCGGCCCCATGGGGACTTTTAGCCAAGGTGAGGGATGGGGACAGTCACATATACACAGACCCCCTGAGACACATATGTACAAATTAGGTTCATGCACAGACATGTGACAGGGACACAGTGATGTGCACATGCCAGCCTGTCTCTGTACACCAGCTTATACATGGTGCACACAGACACAGGCAGAAAAGACAGTGACACAGGCACCTGTGGACACAGGCATTGCTTCCACTTCTAAGTGCTGGACCCGACCCACTCATCTAGCCCATCCAGCCCTTTGAGGCCCACCTCCTAATAATTTGTCATTTCCTCTTTAGCCCCTCCGGTCTCAAGATCCTTGCAGTGTAAACTTAACTGAGAGAAAGGACACAGTGCAAACGCCAGAGAAGAGGTTACTTGCAGCCCTTTGGGTCTACACTTAGGCTTTCCAAAAAGGCTTCCTGGTAGCCAAGGCAAAAAGAGAGATTAGTGGATCCTTGAGACAGACTTTTGGGCAGAACTAGAGGAGAAAAACGCCCTGCATCTCTGCTAGATCTCGGCCCTCACCAGAACTCACTGGGCCTTCCCAGTTGTAAAGGAGAGGGGCTGATCGGCAGATCTCAGCGCATTCTGAGCTCTTGGGATCATGACTTTGCTGTATAGCCGGGCAGGTTGTGCACTGCACAAAAGTCCACATCTTTTACTTCTTTGTGTCATGACTTTGGACAAGTTCCAGGGTTTCAGGATCCTCCAAAGGCTTTTTCTTAAGTATCTGGTGCCAACCCTTTTGAGTTTTCTCTGCTTCATCACTCAATCCATTTGCCACTTATGTCTTTATAGACTGCTGTGTCACCTGACTCCCTCTCTCTCTTCCTATCCCCCTTCCAGCACCAGCAGCAGGTTTTGGGAGCCATTGAGAGGGCCAAGCAGGTCACAGCTCCGGAGCTGAACTCTATCATCCGAGTAGGTCTGGGGGCCTGGGTGGGTGGGTAGGTGACAGTTGGGGCCATGGCAGCTCACACTCCCCCTTCCCTTTCTCCCCACCACAGCAGCAGCTCCAGGCCCACCAGCTGTCCCAGCTCCAGGCTCTGGCCCTGCCACTGACACCCCTGCCTGTGGGGCTGCAGCCACCTTCGCTGCCCGCGGTGAGCGCTGGCACTGGGCTGCTGTCACTATCAGCACTGGGCTCCCAGGCCCACCTCTCCAAAGAGGACAAGAATGGGCACGATGGGGACACCCACCAGGAAGATGATGGCGAGAAGTCTGACTAGCAGGCGGGTCCGGGATGGGGAGGGTGGGAGGGGACAACAGGGAGACTGAGGCACAGAGGGAGTAAGCAATGCCCAGCGCACCAGACATGGCATAGCTCCAGATTGGCTAAACTCGGGTAGTTTTTATGGTCGCTGCTGTTGCGTGCCACCCCCTAGCTTTACTCCCAACCCCCTCTTCCTCCCAACTCCCGGCCTCCCTTTTCCTTCCCTGCAGCCCAGACAGGTGAACCCCATGAGCACCTGCCCAGGTGAGGCCAGTCAAGGGCTGGAGAGTTCAAGGGAGACCAGCTCCAAGGGGGAGCAAAACAAATCTTACACCCCTGGCACTTCCCTGTTCTGCTCACATGTGTAACTGACAGTTGTAGCCAGGCCCGGGGGCACGAAACAAAGCCACCCAACCTGGCACTGCATGCACACAACGCTAGCTCCCCTCCGCCCCCCAGATACCCCAAATCTGCCCCCGGACCCCTCTGCTCTCTCCTCCACCTTTCACCCCCATCACTTGTCCCGCCAGCTCCAGACACTGCCCCCAGCCCACCTGGTCCTCTCCCAAAAGGGAGCAGAGGGAGGCAGTGAGCGGGCCTACAGGCTGGGGGTGGGCACCCCACAATTTCCCTTACCCCTTCCCCAATAAAGATGAGGGTTCTGAAGTCGTCTCCGTTTTTATTTTATTATTTTTCTTTTTTCCAGTATACTAGCTCGTCTTTTAAGAAAGGGAGTATTAAGAAAAAAAAGACAGACAGAAAAATGTTTAAAAAAACAACGTAACACCCACACCTGTGTCTGTATATAGTCAGCTTCTGTTGTGTTCTGTCTTTGATCTCTGCAGAGAAGTGGAAGATGCTGTGTTGAGGGGGGGCTTAGCTGTGCCTTTCAAATAAAATGTGACAAGGTTGGCCGCTGTGTCCCTGCCTCTGTCTTGTGAGGGGACCCCTTCAGGGGAGGGGGGCTTCCTTCCACTCCAAGGCCTCCTCCTCTGTCTCAGGACAGAACACTGAGGGTCCTAGGTAGGTCTGACTTCTGTGTGTTGTCCATCTGCCATCAATGCCTAGCCCAGAGAGGGTGAGCTGGGGTCTGGAGGACACCCAGCCCAGCCCAGGTGCTCCAGGTTCAACCAGCTATTTTAACAGGTAAATCAAGGGTCTCAGAAAGGTGATGTGCCTCAGGCCACAGGGATCCCAGATGACATTTGTTTGGGGGGGTGGGGGGAGGGAGTTGAGACTGCCTCACTATGTAGCCCAGACTAATCTTAAACTAATCCTGCCTCTGCCTCCTGAGTACTGGAGTACTGGAATCAAAGGTGTGCGCCCCCCATGCCTGGCTTCAAATAACATCTTTTGTTTTTTTAATTTTTTTTTTTCTTTCAAATAACATCTTAAAAGACTGAAGCCCACCAGAACCTCAAGAACCTCAGAAACAGCCCGCAGACTCCATGTCCAAGCTGGGGAACCCCCCAGTACACCCAGCTTAGTGTCAACACCTTTGTTACTCAGGCTTGGACCACAAGACCTCAGGTTGTCCACCCAGAATGTGGGGCAAGGGCTTCACGGCATGGAGTCCCAGCCTGAGAGCTGGGCACGTGGGGGAAATGCCTCCTGTCTCTAAGGAGACAATGGTCTTGCCCCTTCCTCACAGCAGCCAAAGCACCTGTAACCCCCGGGAGGGTTCCTCCCTGCTTAATATTGATCCTCATTGGACACCAGGACTTGCTTACATGCACCGCTCAGGGAGTGTAAGTTCCTTCTCATTGGAAAGGTGGTTTGGCACCCTGTGAATCTAGTAACACCCCCATCTGTACCCCAACAGCAATGTGACGTGAGTCCATCAGAAAGACCTGAAGGAGACCTTGCAGAGATGCTATAGTTAGTCCTCATTGATGCTGGCTGAAAATTAGAGGAGTTCCCACAGGCTGTGGCAGCAGGCATAAACTCTGCCATTTTACAGTGGAATACTACACAGCTGTGAAAAAGAACAAGCTAAGGCTGTGCTGGGCAACACAAGATGTCAAGGGTGTAGCTCAGTGGAGAGCACCTGCCTAGCATGTGTGAAGCCCTGGGTTCTATCCCTAGAGCACGCACACATACACAGAAAAGCCTGGGTGACCTACAGCACGTGACTTCAGGGGCTGCTCTTGGGGAGGAGAGACAAAGGGAGGCTTCTAGTGGGGTTGAGTATAGTTTCTTTCGTGACCTGGGAACTGATTCTATAAGTGTTCACTTTTTTTCTTTCCTATATTTCGTAAGTTAGAAATGATTTTTTTTTTTTTTTAAAGCTGGGAGCTGGTGTCTCACACCTGTAATCCTAGCTACTTGGGAGGCTGAGACCAAGAGGATCATGATTCAAGGCCAGCTCAGGTAAACGGTTTGTGAGACCCCATCTCCAAAATAACCAGAGCAAAATGAACTGGAGGTGTGGCTCAAATGGTAGAACGCCTGCTTTGCAAGTGTAAAGGTGTAGTTCAACCCCCCCCAGCTCCCCAAAATAACTATATTGTTCCTCCCATAGCCCTTTGAACAAATTCTAAGTTCCCCTCTCAGGGCCAGAGATGCTGCAAGAAACGACCAGATACCCACCCCCTACTTAGTGGGCAACAGCTGGATTTGCTTATTTTTTTTAGTGGTGCTATTTCCCCCCCCCCCCCGTACTGGGGTTTAAACCTGGGGCCTAGATCTTGCCAGACAGGTCCTCTCCCACTTGAGCCATATCCCAGCCCCCTATTTATTTATTTATATTTTAATTATGTTTGTTTTTGTGGTACTGGGGATGGGACCCAGGTAAATTCTCTACATCATCACCCTGCAGCCAAGTTTAAACGTCTCGCTGTCCCGCGCCTTTGCACAGGCTGTGCCCTCAGCCTTCTTTCCTGGAATCTCTCAATCTCTCTCTCCCTCCTTCCACCGCCCCCCCCCGCGCTCCCCAATATTCTAATCCTTCAAGTCCGGCCCCCCCCCAGTCTTGAACACATTCCCAGAGCCCAAAGGGAGCCCCGGCAATGACTGCGCCCCGCACACGACTTTCCTTCCCTCCCCCACCCGCACCAGGACTCCCACGCCCCGCAAGCGCTCCCCACCCGGCTGTGTCCCCAAGCCCCCAGCGTGGCTGCGAACCCTGTTTTTCCTCCCCCACCGGGTGGCCGAGCCCGCGGCCACCGTGGCCCCCAGGGGCCCGCGCTCCCGGCCTCCGGCTCAGGGAACCACGTGGGCCCTGGAGAGCCTGGGGGGGCTGATGGGGCGACCGCCACCTACGTCCCCAGGGTCCCCGCGGGGGGCGGGTCCTGCCGCCCGCTGGCTCACGACGGGGTGGGGGAGGGGCGCGAGTCCCCCCCCGACCCCCTCCTCCGCGGAGCCACAGCCACCGCTGCGGGCGACCTCGGCTAATTGATCTGCTAATGGGCCCCGCGCCGCCGCCTAATGAGGCGGAGGACTGAGGGCGGGGAGGGGGGAGGAGGGGAGGGGGAAGAGGGGAGGGGGAGGACTGGGAGAATGGAGGAAGGAGGGGGAGGGGAGGAGAAATAAAAGGGAGAAAGGAGGGGGAGAAAATGGATGGGAGGGACAAGGAAGAGGAGGGAAAAAGAGGAGAAGGTAGCAGGGGGGAGGGGTGGAAAATGGAAGGGGGAGGGGCGGAAGGAGAGGGAAGGGGGAGCCACGCTCTTGGCTTTTCGCCCCTAGACTTGAGCCTGGGAGGGCAGTGGCGACCGGGTGAACCTGTCCCTCTGACTGGAGGCCTCCTCTAAGACCCTGGGCCCTCTGACAGTCCCCTTCCCGAGGCTCCGGCCCTTTCTGAGCGCATTTGCAGAGGGGGCTCGGTGCCTCCGCGGTGTGAGGACCCAGCAGGACCCTTGCTCTTTCTCTGCCTCCGCGCAGCCATCCACTTGGTCTGATGTCGGCAGTGTTGCACGACCAGCCTGAGGCTTAGGGACCCCCCACCCCCGGGGCCAGCCCCCCCCCCCGGCCTCTGGTTCCCAGGCCCAAGCATGGCAGAGGGCAGAGGGCAGAGGGCAGAGGGCCGGTGGACCCGCACCAGCCAGGGAGAAAGCACCCTGGGATGAGATGGAACAAGGACGGCCGTCCCCAGGCCAGGGTGTGCCCTCCACTGCCTAGGCTGAGAGTTTGCCCCCATCTTGGAGAGAAGATGGGGGAGTGAGGGGGCAGAGAAATGACTGCCCTCCTTCCCCATTGTGCCGATGGGGAAACTAAGGAAATTGCTTAAGGTCACAAAACAAGGCGGGGCCCCAGCTGGCCTGTTAGCCCTACATGCTAAGGGCCCCCCTCTGCACTAGGAACAACCAGGCAGAGCAAATCATTTTTTTAAATTTTCAGTATGGGATTTGAACTCAGGGCCTACACCTTGAGTCATTCCACCAGCCATTTTTTTGGTGATGGCTTTTCCGAGGTAGGGTCTCAGGAACTATTTGCCCTGGCTGGCTTTGAACGGCGATCCTCCTGATCTCTGCCTTCTGAGTAGCTAGGATTACAGGAGTGAGCCAGGTGCCTAGTAAGAGCAGATCTTGAGGGCAATAAACAGCTGTCCTGAGGCAAGTTTCTCTGGTGCCTCCAACCTGAGCTAAGCGCTTTCAGCCCCTCTCCATTACCGCCCTTGAAAACGCTGGTGAAGAAAGGATTATTTTACAGAGAAGGAAAGGGAGCACAGGCATTCCAAATGACTTGTTCAAGGTCACACAGCCAAGAAATCTGGATTCCAGTGGAGGAGGTCCAGTATCAGCCAGTTGGATTAAGAGATAAAACTTTCTAGACCCAGTGAGAGCTGGGGGGCTAGGGAGGATGGGTGGCCCCCACCCTGCCAACCTTAGCCTGTTTGTTGCTGAATGAGTATGATTGAGTGAACTCTGCCCAGAACTCCACCAGCCCCCTGGCTCATCCCCACCCCCGCCCCCCTGTCCTGTGTTCTTTATTGTCACATTTTTGCCTCCCTCTACACAACTAAAGTCAACTAACCAACTCTTGCTGTCTGCTTGCCCCACCCCCCACCCCTATCCTATGAGTTCTGTGACAGTATTTTGTCCATTTGGGTTGTTTCTGTTTCCCCAGAGGACACTACAGTAGGTGTTCGGTCATTTGGGGGAAAAAGAGAAAATGTCAGAGGAGAGGACCCACTGAGATAGGCGGGGCTGGGCTAGTCCAGCAGGATCCTGGGACACTGGGAGCTATGGGAGGTGTTTGAGCAGGAGAGGGTTTCGTCCAGGTGTGTAGTTAACAAGATCCTCTGGTGTGCAGGGGAAAACTGAGGGACCTGGCCAGAGGGGAAACTGAGGCAGGAGCTGCAGAGGAGATCTCTGCAAGAGGGAGCCCCTGCCTGACCAAAGATCCCCTGGCTGTCCCCTCCTTCTTAAGACTCATCTTTACCTTTCTCAGACTCTCTCCAGGCCTGCTGGACCTGTGCTGTCTCTGGGCCCACTGACTTTGGGATGACTCTCTGTTTCTTATCTATCCCCTTGTCTCTCTGTCTGTCTTTCCTTCTTTCTCTCCTTCCTGCTACTCACTCTCTCTCTCTCCCTCTCTCCTCCCTTTCTCTGCCTTTCATTGAAGGTCGTTCTCCATTTCTCTTTCCTCTGTGTTGCTATTCTGTGCCGCCCCCCCCCCCACGACTGTAATCTCAGCTGACTGCCCCCTACAAACCGCTCCCACCCACCAGGCCTCCTGGGCACAGCTGCTGGCTGTCGGCCAAGGGCTGTCAGCCCTTGACCCAGGGCCACTGCCTCCTCCTGTCCTCTCCTCCTCCTCTCCCTGCCCTTCAACCTTGCCCACCCTGTGCCCCGCCTCCTCCCCTCCATACCCATCATTTTTTCCTCCCTCTCCAGTTCCCTCCTTCCTGTTCCAGATCCAGCTGGGAATCTCCCCCTCCATCCCCTGCCAGGCCTGCCTGAGCATGTAG